GTACAGCCGGGCGGCTATACTATTTATTTCAAAAAATTGAAAAACCAGAACAGCCGCACGACTATACTATTTCAAAAAAAAATGGAAAAAACCGGGTATAGCCGTTCGGCTATACTATTTCTTTTAAAAATTTTCGGGAAACCAAGTGCAGCCGCACGGCTATACGATTTTCAAAAAAATAGAAAACCGAGTGTCGCCAGGCGGCTATACGATTTCTTTTATAAAAAAAATTAAATAACCGAGTATAGCCGATCGGCTATACAATTTCTTTAATTAAAAAAGAGTATAGCCGCCCGGTTGTACTATTTATTTTTAAATAAATGGAAACAAACCGTATAGCCGCGCGGCTATACTATTTCGTTAAAAAAAGGGGAAACCCAGTATAGCCGGGTTTAGGGTTATGAAGTAAGGCCCTAGAAGAAGCAACTTTATCCCCTTGGATTGAATTCTATCTCTTTGGCTTGTTATGAATCAGTATGAACATTGGCAGGCAAATTGATCTAGATTGTCAATTTCTGGAAGCAGAGAGAATCATGGATTATAGTCTTTTGGTTGGTGTTCATTTTTATGATGGCAGCAATGGGGCTGAATTAAGTGTTTGTGTCCCTTGCAGGCCAAAAGGATTCATATCAGAATGAAAAGTTTATGCGTGGGTAGCGGAACTACAAGACATGGATTGAGTTTTGTCTGGCCGGTATGTTTTGATTCTTCATTTCTTGTTTTCTTCAAGTTTAACCTATGCAACCAAATCTTTCCGAGCAATTGATTTAACAAAGATTTCTGGAAAAGATAATGTGGTTGAGCTTTGTCAATGCAGTTTTGATGGCAATGGGTTGTCTAATAATTCTGCCATTGAATTTGTAGGGTATTCATTAGGTAGCAATTGCCTGTGGGTTCCTAGATAAGAATAAGGTTGCCTGGATTGTTTTGACCCAATAATTGGCTCATTTTCCCAAATGAAATCAGTATCTCTAGCCAATTCCCCCAATGAAAATAAGGTTACTTCTAATACGAAAATTGACGCGTATAGCAGCGCGGCTATACTATTTCTATTTTAAAATTTTGGTAAAAATCAAGTATAGTAGCTAAACTGTTCGTTTTAAAAAATTGGAAAAAAAAAAATCCTAGTATAGCCGATCGGCTATACTGTTTTTTTTTTTAAATTGGAAAAAAAACTTCGTATAGCCACCGGCTACTATTTATTTTTAAAAAATTAGAAGAAACCGAGTATAGCGATACTATTCCTTTTAAAAATTAAAAAAAAGGATAAAACCCAGATTAATAAATATAAAAAAAAGTATAGACGGCTATATGATTTCTTTAATTTAAAAAGCGTATAGCCGGGGGGCTATACTATTTCTTAAAAAACATTAAAAAACACAGTATAGCCGCGCGGCTATACTATAAAACTGGAAAAAACAGCGTATAGCCGAGCGGCGATACTATTGCTATAAAATTCGGAAAAACAGAGTATAGCCGACCGGCTATACAATTTCTATAAAGAAATTGAAAAAACTAAGTATAGCCGGTCGGCTATACTATTTCTTTTAAAAAAAATTCTGAAAAACAGAGTATAGCCGACCGGCTATACTATTTCTATAAAGAAATTGAAAAAACTAAGTATAGCCGTTCGGCTATACTATTTCTTTTTAAAAAATTCGAAAAAACAGAGTATAGCCGACCGGCTATGCTATTCCTTGTTTAAAAAAATGGAAAAAACCGAGATTAATAAAAAAGCGTATAGCCGGTCGGCTATACTATTTCTGTAAAAAATTAAAAAACCGAGTATAGCCGCCGGCTATACTTTTCTATTTTTAAAAAGTTTAAATACATAGTAGAGCCGTGCGGCTATACTGTTTCTTTTAAAAATGGAAAAACCCCAGTATGGCCTTACTGCTATTCTATGTCTTTTCTAAATATTCGAAAGAGCGGCTTTACAAAATTAGAAAAAACGAATATAGCGGTGCGGTTATACTACTTTCCCACCCGGCTCTGCTCATTTTTTTTGTAATTAAAAAAAAGAAAAGAAATAGTATAACCTCGCCGCTATACTCGGTTTTATTTTAATTTTCTTTTGAAACTTGGGGTCTAACCGAAGCTGAAAAGATAGATAAAAAGTGAACTCGCTTGAAGCCCAAAGTCGATTGGTCTCAAATTGTGAGATTCAAAACTTGAGCCAAGCCACAGTTCAAAATGTCCATGAACCAAATGCATTCGCTTAGAATTATTGTTGATAAACAATAATTATAACAAAAGGGGAAGACTTAAATCCAAAACCATTTCATTTATAGCAGAAACATTCGTTTTTATCATATCATAACAAAGATGGAATCCAAGGGTATGCAAAACCATAAAAAAAGGCAGTAGACTCAGTAGGAGCAAATGGCGGGGTGAGTAAATACACAAATCAAGAAAAGAAGAAACCCCAAAAAAATAAACAATCTTAGAACACCAAATAGTCCCATTTAACAATGTGCTAAGCTTGTCAACTTTTCATACACCCATTTAACAAATTTAACAGATTTAGGGTCGATTGCAAGCTTAAGTAAACTACAAGCCCTAATTACCAATATTAAAAACCAAAAAGACGGGGAATCGAATCCATTGCCTAACCTACACATTTTGATTCCACATAACCTACTTTCTATTTGTAATCATCGTCACATTAGACCGATATCTTTTCCTAGAAGAGCAAGAGCTTTGTAACAAAAAACTAGTAATTGAATGTACAATCCTACAAGAAAACAAACAATAGCCGGATACTCCATTTGATGGAAGAGAAATGAGGGAGATTTGTGTATGTTTTGAGCAGCCTCGTATGCGACACCGTCTCACTACAAAAGAGGTTCATCTGCATCATTAAACCCATCAGCGTAAGCTCACCACAAGCTCAATTATTCCATGTTAAAATAGTATGAGAAAAATGTAGCGTATCAAATGAAGGTTCCTACCATCACCATCATCTTCCATATTAAAATCGTCGTCGTCGTCATCGAAATCTTGGTTCTGCAAGATCAAAGTTGTATTAAAAACATATTACTTTCCCACACATGGACAGCCAAACAACCACACACCTCCTAGTTCCAAACTTGAATTTTCGTGAACAGAACTTCTAACGAATAAGTGAGGAATCAGGTGGCACATATAAGAAATGAAAATCCCAACAGTGAACATAAACAAAGTACAACCTATCACCATTTTGAAGTGATTACCCATAAATAAGGTAAAGAAACAAATAGATAAGACCCAAGATTTCCTATACGAACCTTCTGATAATCATCATCACTGAAGTCTTCTTCTGGCTCCTCCTCCTCTTCTTCTTCATCTTCATCCTCACCTTCACCTTCTTTCTTTTCTTTTCCATCATTATTACCCTACAAATGAGAAGAATTATCAACAATGCATACAAAAATTAAACCTTTTATGAAAATAAATTTTATGACCAAGCATCTTCAAACTTTCATTTGGATCCTTTTCATAGATAGATGTTGGTACAGTGATATTTGACACAACATGTTGTAGTTAGGGAGACTATGAAGACTTTTTCATACCTGACGCTGTTCAAGCTTTTCAAATAAATCTAACTTCTGCAGCTCTGTAAGAGTGATGATCTTTTAATCAGTTTGGGTCAAAATTCCCAATGATTAGAAGAAGAAAAAAACAGATTAAACATGACAACAGAAGAACAAAGTATCCAGTCTCATGGAACCTGAGTCAGGATTCCATCGAACTCTCTTTCGGCCTGGTTGCTGCGCCCTTGAACCTGAAACACCATTGCAACAACAAGTATGTAAAACGCAAAAAGAAAACCACAAAACCAAAGTAGAACATTGGATATCATTCCCAAATTTTTTTTTCACATGATTTTCAGATTACAAACCTCCAGTCAGTTCTTGGGGAAATCCCTTGAGCTCCAATATATCAAAAAGAGCACCGCGTCTTATCGTGGTTTTTGGCTTCAACCTGTCAGAATATCTTTCTACTTCTGTGCTTTGCCTCTCTGAAACCACAAGTTCAGTAAGTGTATTACAATCACAACATAATCTGGTATAAATTCAAAAAAGCCAAATAAATGATTTACAATGAGAATCAAAGCAATATGGTATTAAATAAAATGCAACTATAGAACAAATCACCTTAAAAACTCATATTGAACTTTTTATGATAGTTTGCCACTTTGCATAATGTTCACAAACATAAGATTGGGTGTTGGTTTTGGAAGGGATGTTTGAACTTCTCCTTACATCTAACTATAAAATCTTGGTGAGATCAATTTCAGATTCACAGTAAATATGTACTTTTATCTTCAACCATAAAAATATTAAAGGGATCAACATATATGAATCATATTGAATTTCACAACAGAACTGTACTTTTACACAGCATTGAAGCATCACTACAAGGTTGATAGTCTTCTTATAAAAAACAAAAAACAAACATGATTTCAAACATACCAAAATAATGAATTCTCTCCACAATAGACCATGATTAATATCTTAGCTAGAAGAGGAAGGGAAAACCAAATCAAACATGCTTCACAAATTGCTTAATTCCTTGACTGCATGTACTGATAGACAAAAAAAAACATAAACAACGAGTTCTAAAGTAGATCATGCTAACCCTTTGAAGTGGTCTGCTCAAGATAAAAAGGAGAGCCTTTCCATATTTTTTGAAACTTGCGACTTTGATTGACTAAGTTTTCTTCCTCACTCTTACCCTGGTATATCTTTTTATCTGGATCAAGTATACCTTTGACATTAGGCAAATCAATATCCTGCAAAGAAAAGTTTGATATTAAATATGAGAAATAGCAAACTGCCAATATCATAGCAAAACTTATCAATAACTGCAACAAAAATAGAACCAATTGCAATAAAAATAGAACCGATTGCAGAAACATATTACTTCAAATTTGGCCATTACTAGTTCAAAATCAACAAAAATCAAGATGAAGACTCAAATTGTAGCTTTGTAAATTAGTCCTGAGGATAAACTGCAGCAAAGAGAAACTCACAGGAAAAAGCTCAAAAGGAACTTGAGTGGCATAGCCAAAACCGCCGCCACCTCCTCCAAATCCACCGCGTCCACGACCTCTATACGCCATTGACCTTCACATACAAATTGAAAATAAGAATTTCTCAACAAACATTAAATTTGAGAAGAAAAAAATTGCAAAAATAGAGAGAAACTTGTGAACAACTTTTTTTTAATTTCCCATTTCTGATTGAAGATAACCGTTCTAATTGAAACTCGACCAACTCATAAACTGTTGCAGAGACATTTTATTGAGACGGGGTGGGAGAAAGCTTACTTTTATAGTTTGGTTGCTGAGAAACTGCAATAGGATGAAGAATAGGACTGAAGAAGAAAGAAGAAAGGAAGAAGAGGAGTTACAGATGGAGAAGATGGAGGAGTTGCCGTCGGACTGAGGAGGAAGACTGGACGCACGCACGCTGGTCCTTGGAGCAGTCGAGCGAGGAGAGGCACTCAAGAGCTATGGGCTGGCCTGTGGAGGAGAGACCCAATTCTGTATTCGGGTCAGGTCATGACGGTGGGCAAGATGGGCAAATTTCCTATTGGGTTGTTCTTGTTGTATTTGAAGCCCAAATTCGCCAATGGATCTTGCTGAATACTGTACCCAGTCCAACATAGAGGACCTTATAAAATAACGCCAATGAATCTTGCTAGAAGAAGTCAAATACTTCACATGCACTTTTAAACAAAGTTACTGCTTGTAAAAAGTGAGAGGAGGATAAATGTATAGAATACAAAAAAACTTTTTACCGGATCTCCATGCAAGGAGTTAAGTGAGAATATGACTTGTAAAAATGAAGTGGAAGAATTCAACGTGGGAAGTTACAATGCCACCCTGGACTTTCTGATGTTGGGATTCTCATACCAACTTTTTGCCTCAAATTGTGCAATGCTGAAACACATGCTATTTTATATCTCAGCAACCTCACTTTGAAGTAGGGCTGTGCACGGGTTGGGTCGGGTCGGGTTGAAGTTTTTCTCTCTATTTTTGCAATTTTTTTCTTCTCAAATTTAATGTTTGTTGAGAAATTCTTGTTTTCAATTTGTATGTGAAGGTCAATGGCGTATAGAGGTCGTGGACGCAGTGGATTTGGAGGAGGTGGCGGCGGTTTTGGCTATGCCACTCAAGTTCCTTTTGAGCTTTTTCCTGTGAGTTTCTCTTTGCGATGACCCCCTAATGTACTTCTCTAACCGTTGGGATGACCTCCTAATGTACTTAGCACAATTGCGAATACTCTCAATAGATTGATGAATTTCTTTCATTCCATCGGTAACAATTAAGTTAGTAATATGTGCACAGCACCTCACATGCAACAAACTACCATCACATATGAGTGAATTCCACTTTTCTAATCTCTTCTTCATGTAGCTAATACATCCATCATTGGAGGAAGCATTATCAACCGATATGGTGAACACTTTGTCTATCCCCCATCCATTCAAACATGACTCTACTAGCCTACCAATTGTATCCCCCTTATGATTAGGATTGACACAAAAATTAAGGATTCTCTTATGCAACACCCAATCATCATCAATGAAGTGGGCCGTGAGAACCATGTAATTGATGTTTTGAATGGAAGTCCAAGTGTCGGTGGTAAGGGACACCCTTTGTGAATTATGTGTTAAGACACTCTTGATTTTAGCTTTCTCCTCTTGATAGAGGTTCCACACAACTCTAGCAATTGTCGTACGAGATGGCAAATCAAATCTAGGTTGTGCCTCCTTCAAAAATTCACGAAACCCAATCCCTTCCACATGACTAAACGGAAGCTCATCCCGAATAATCATCTTGACACATGCAATTCTACATCTCTCTTTACTAAATGCATGTGCTACTAAGTTACCCCCTTTTGCTTGACCCTCAAATGAAATGACTTTTTGTCTTTTCTCATGTCTTAATGGAGAAACTCTTACATTGACTTCTCAAATGGTGCCACAAAGTGGATGTGCCATTCTTTTTACCATCACATGCATAGTCCTTTTTACAATACTTGCATATGCATCTAGGGTCACTACTACCATCCTCACCCTTCATCTTTGTGAAATGATCCCAAACCCCCGAAGCATTCTTACAAGGCCTTCTTTTTCCTAAAGTGCTAGGGGCTGATTGTGGAAGGGGTGGTGGTGGTGGTGGTGGTGGGTTAATTGAAACAGGGTTTCAAATTGTCACTCCATGAAAATAATAACCTATGCAAATACACATTTTTTGTCAACTACTGAAATTGCTCGTTCATGATATTAGTAAACTATAATTTTTGTAAACTACAAATAAAGCAGCAACTAAAAATAACAACTAAACCAACAACCAGCAGCAACTAAAAATAACAACTAAACCAACAACCAGCAGCAACTAAAAATAACAACTTCCACAAGAACCAAAAAAATACAAAAATTTACCAGAAATAAAAGCACAACCAGCAGCAACTAAAAATAACAACTTCCACAAGAACCAAAAAAATACAGAAATTTACCAGAAATAAAAGCATAACCAGCAGCAACTAAAAATAACAACTAAACCAAGAACCAAAAAAATACAGAAATTTACCAGAAATAAAAGCACAACCAGCAGCAACTAACTTCCTTTCCTTTGCCTTCAAAATCAATCTGTCCAGAAAAAAAAAATCACAACATAGTCAGACAAAATCAATATAAATTGTCATAGTTTTTTAATTGGGTTTCCCTGGCAAAAGGAGGCAACTAATCTGAGCTGAACAAGGATTAATCTTTAAGTTTCCTGTTTATTTTTTCTTTTCTAAACTAGGATTAGCTATATAAACCAGTCCACTGTTGTTCAAGTTGTATTATTCAAGAAGATATTAGATTTATAAAAAGTATAAGGAAAAAGGAAGAAATACAAGGAATTCAATAGTCACAGAAAAGGTTCATTTTCAAGGAATGTGAAAATGGTAATTAGGCGAAAAAGGGTAAATTTAAACTATAACCAGAGTATAAAAGGATAGAATAAACTCAATGTTCCTGAACAATATATGATTAGCCAACAACTAGTCACGGACCTGAGATTACAATACACAAACCACAAACATACAACAAACAATTATCAAGCCCTTGCAAACCTAGAAGAAAACTAAGTGACAATCTAAGCACTCAGAAGGATCCGTTAATCTAGGTATTTTATATGCTAGCAACAACTATGATGATATGTGTGTCAGCATCCATTAACTCAGAAATAGGAATGAATAACAATAGATGATTGGGTAGCAAAACGAAACTTGGCAACGACAACAATAATTAAAAAGGAAAAGCGGGTAGTAAGGAAATAATAAGTTAGAAAACACAAAGAAAAAGCTGACACTAATATATTCAAAAAGTAGAGGGAAAAAGAAAAAGAAAAAGAAAAAACAAGGAACCCAATAGTCACAGAGAAGGTTCATTTTCAAGGAAGGAAAAAGATGTAGAATGTATTTGCGTATATGCCTTTTCCGTTAACAATAGTCCCCCGATGGTTAAAAAAAGATATCTGTTTCGCAAAGTGGTTCTCTTAAAAGAATGCCGATTGCCATATTATACATAATTAAGAGGTAGAATTTGCCAAAATATTGCTTGAAAAGAGAGTACACAAAACCCTCGAACGGAGGAAGAAAGCTAAAAGATTAAGTGTTGAGTTCTCTCTCACCAACCGCCTTTGAGCTCTCTCTCTCTCTCTCTCTCTGCATTTATATCCTCAGCTCACAATCTCAAGCAAACCTGTTTGCCCTCTCTTTCTCATAGAAAATGAGTAAGCACGAGGTCATGGATCTTCAGGTACACTTTTGTTTAAACTAGTTTCATTCATAATGTTCTGAAACAAAGCTAAGCTGTACTGTTCCTCTGTTAGTTTCTTCCTTACTAGTTCTGCACAACCAGCAGCAACTAAAAATAACAACTAAACCAAGAACCAAAAAAATACAGAAATTTACCAGAAATAAAAGCACAACCAGCAACAACTAACTTCCTTTCCTTTGCCTTCAAAATCAATCTGTCCAGAAAAAAAAAATCACAACATAGTCAGACAAAATCAATATAAATTGTCAAAGCCCTAAATTTTTGGAATCAAGTTTTCGAGATATTAGTACCTCAAAGCCCTAACTCGTGAAATGAGAATTTGCGGCTCAATTTGACAGAAAAATTCGAGTAAGGAAAACTCAAAACTGAGAGAGAGTGAGAGTGACAGAGAGAGAGCGAGAGTGACCGTGAGAGAGAGCAGAGAGAGAGCGAGCAAGAGTCACTGAGAGAGAAAGAGAGCGAGATTGACTGAGAGAGAGAGAGAGAGAGAGAGAGAGCGAGAGTGACAGAGAGAGAGAGAGGGAGCGACAGTGACTAACAGATAAGAGAGATTGGAAGAAGAAGTCGACGGATTTGGTCAGGGAGAGGAGGTTCAGTGAGAGAGGCAGATCTGATGGAGAGACTCGAAGAAGTGAAGAGAAAAAAAAAATCGAGCGGCTGAATGAAGATCAAGTGTGGTAAGGCGCAGACTTGGGATAAAATGAACGAATCCGCCGCTGCCACGTATATTAATTTATTTTTAAATAATATAATTTTAAAATGTCGGTCCGATCCGGTTTTCACCGGTTTGGAGAAAATTAAACCGGTTCAACCCGATTTATGGCCGGTTCAGCCGGTTTTTTTACCGGTTCCTGGATTTTTTATTGTAAAAACCGAATCAAACCACCAAAGGCGGTCGGGTTTTTGGTAATAATGCCCACCCCTAGTTTCAAGTATCCCCTATTGGAAAACTTACTGTTGTGCCACCTTACAAGTCTTAGGGTTCTCGTTGTAATTTTATTTTCGACGTAAAAAAAAAAGTCTTAAGGAGTTATCTGGCTTTAGCTTATGGTGATCCATGGATATATATATGTGTGGAACATGAAGTATCTATAATACATATTTGACAGATGCATCATGCATGCATGAATTGTGTTTTGTAAGGCCAAAATTTGGGTTGAAATGGAAAATATGGGTTTCTGCCTGTTGGTTAAGTTGGTAATTTTCATGGTTTGTTCTTTTGGATTATTTTATTTCTTGAGAGATATACTTACTTACAAATTAATCTTGTTCAATTATTTATTTATCATATGAGTCTTAGTCCACTATTTTGTGTTATCATGCCCATCAGACTAAGGAAAGAACATATTCATATTTGTGTCTATGCCCTAATGTCGGAGTTCATGTAATGCTCTGTTTTCAATTAATATTTTCAGCTTGTGTAGAGAATGTTATTTCAGTGGAATTATACAATAACTTTTTGAACCAAAATTTTGGGATTGTGCAACAAATATTTCTCAGTTTGTCTTAAGGAATATTATGCTTGAAGCTTGTCCAGTCTACAATGATTTTGAAGATTTTATTTTGCTTATTGAATTTGATTACTGAGTTTGCTTTACTTCTTCTCTGAGACTATGCTTCTTTAACTGTTTGAACAATGCCAAATACACTATTGATGATTTCCTTATTTGTATTTTTATTCGCCTGCCAAGACACATATTCACTTCACCCATGTTTATAATAACTTTTATATTGCAATTGAGTAGTACGAAATCGTGTGCATAAATGTGAACTTTAATTTTACAATGGTAATATCTTGTGAAAGTTTGCTATATGAAGAATTGGGTCATTTAGAAAAGCCAACAATCTGTATGAAGATAGGATTCTTGAAGGTAGTCCTTCACTGGAGAAACTACAGATAGATTTCTCAAACGTATATATAACTCAACAAACTTCAAGCTCAACTCTTAAATGATGTATATCATAATTTTTTTTTTCTTCTATTAAAAAATGTATATCATACTGTAGTTTTACATTTATCCACTCTATTTGTTGTAGTGCCTGTAAATGTATGTGTATGAGACTTGTAGTGCCTGTAAATATGTCTGAACTTGTTTTGGTATTGGTTTTTGAATATGTTTTGGTATTGGTTTCTGTTATGAATTTTGGAATTGGTTTCTATTTTGAAATTGGTTTTAGTTGTTATTGAATGATTTGCTTCTAATATGCATTTTTGATCCGTTTTATACAGATGGAAGATTGTCTTGAATCAAGTGGCAGCGTCCTCTTGGGGAGGAAATTGCTATAACTTTCAGCTTAAATTCTGTACCAAGAGGAGATGTCGTCGAATTTTGCTGATAGATATAAAATGTGTTAAAATTCCCGACCAAGAGGAGATGTAAATTTTTTGTTTTTTTGCCACTTTCTTATGTATATCTTAAGATGTAATGAGATAACATAGTTAGTTCATCAATTCATGAAAGTTAAGTTAGAAGGAAATTTGTCAATCTCTAGTTTCCATGGTTTTATCTTTCCCCTTGCAAAGAAGAAAAATGCAAATGTAACCAAATCAGTGATTTCATTGGCAAATGCCATGACAGATATGTATTGCATATGTATTGCACATGTATAGCCCTTTATTGCTTGTGTATTGCCTCAGTATATCCTTTTTTTTAAAGTCTGTTGGAATGAATTTATAGGGGGAGTATGAAGTTTGTGTATTGCCATTATATAGCCTTTTATTGCTTGTGTATTGCCATTGTATAACCTTTTATTGCTTGTGTATTGCTACTGTATTGCCCCCTCATATCTTCTTTTTTTCAAGTCGGTGTTGGAATAAATTTATAGGAGGAGTATGGAGTTTGTGTATTGCCATTGTATAGCCCTTTATTGCCTGTGTATTGCTACTGTATTGCCCTCGTATATCCTCTTTTTTTTTTCAAGTCTGTATTGAGGGTATAAAGGTGGGGATGGGGAAAAAAGCCTCACAGGGATGGGGATGGGAAGGGCATACCCACCCCCGATTCGACCCATTGCCATCCACAAAGGCAAGAAGAATGAGCTATATATACACATAATGTATATAACGTGCTATCTTCAATGTATAATTGAATAAAAGTATTTTTCCATTGCATACACTTGTGAATATATAAAAACAAAAGATTCAAGACTGAAATTTCTCAAGTAAATTGAACTCAATTTCATTCCATGAGGACTAAATAATTATATGGTCTGTTTGATACACAAGTAGTCCCTCAATTACATGTTTTTTTTTTTCCTTATAACTACAATACACTTCTTGCAACTAAATGGAATGTTGTCCCAACCCAAATTGATGAAGGTTCTCAACGACAACAATCTTCTAGAAGCCAAAAATCTAGGTCTAACTGTCATGAAAAAAAAAAGTCATTTATCTCAAGACTTAAGAGTTAGGATTTCGAATCACTAGAGACCAAGCTTGTGGGACAAATTTCCTTCTAACTTGACTTTCATAAATTGATGAACAAACAATGTTATCTCACTACATCTTAAGATATACAGAAGAAAGTGGCAAAAAACAAAAAATTTACATCTCCTCTTGGTCTGGAATTTTAACACATTAGCAAAATTCGATGACATCTCCTCTTAGAACAGAATTTAAGCTGAAAGTTAGCAATTTCCTCCCCAAGAGAACGCTGCCATATGTATAAAATGGATATAAAAAAATGCATATTAGAAGCAAATCATTCAATCAAAATGGAAACAAAAGCATAACATTCAATCACAACTGAAATCAATTTCAAAACAGAAACCAATTCCAAAATTCATAACAAAAACCAATACCAAAACAGATTCAAAAACCAATACCAAAACAAGTTCAGACATATTTACAGGCACTACAAGTATCATAAACATACATTTACATGCACTACAACAAATAGAGTGGATAAATGTAAAATTGCAGTATGACATACATTTTTTAATAGAAGAAAGAAATAAAAAAATTATGATATACATCATTTAAGAGCTGAGCTTGAAGTTTGCTGAGTTATATGTACCTATGAGAAATCTATCTGTGGTTTCTCCAGTGAAAGACTACCTTCAAGAATCCTATCTTCATACAGATTGTTGACTTTTCTAAATGACCCAATTCTTCATATAGCAAACTTTCACAAGATAGTACCATTGCAAAATTAAAGTTCACATTCACGCACACGATTTCGTACTACTAAATTGCAATATAAAAGTTATTATAAACATGGGTGAAGTGAATATGTGTCTTGGCAGGCAAATAAAAATACAAATCAGGAAATCATCAATAGTGCACTTGGCATTGTTCAAACAGTTAAAGAAGCACAGTCTCAGAGAAGAAGAAGAGCAAGACAATGGAACTGGATAAATGCAAGAGCTGTCAACAAACCTTCAAGTTTTCCAAGAACCCTTTTCACGGCACCAACACAACCTTGGCATGATACCAACCTTGAGGACTATAAATTGCACCAACAACAGATCCAAGATTGAATTACAAAAAATAGAGAAAACCAAGATCCAACATATACCAACTTTACAGTATCAAACTTATGTTAAAATATTGGCATTCTTATAAAACTTACAAACTCCAGAGTCG